TTCTTTAGTCTTCTTTCCTCAGCATAACCCCAGTCTCGTGCTTTATCCTACACATAAAAGTTTTGTGAATAAATATGGAAGCATTCTACATGAGGTATCAGAACTGATCTGATTCCAGAATTTATGAAACGGACATACATCCCTTTATGTATTCTGAAATCAGATCCATAATCGTTGGTCAATGCACGGATGGTGTGTTGTTAGTGTTGTAGCACCATAGGTCTTCTGTCTGACGTGGAGAGCGGGCATATGTCGGAAACCGGTCGCCACATCCTACATACGACCCATGCATCTTTTCTTACTACATATTTCTGTAGCCTTGTGATCGTCTAGAATTTGTCTCTAGCTGTCTTTACTTTTGCTTCACGTTGTGTATTTACTTCTTACAGTTTCTCAAGACGTTTGTCTTACCAGGAATAACAATGCAACAGTTTGCTTCTACATTATATATATATATATATATATATATATATATATATAGCTGAATACACATATACGAGCATAGCACAAATTACAATACTAGCTAAAACCATTTCTCTACCCTAGCCAGCCTCGCGGCTGTCTAGGAACTCAGATGGAAGCTCTCTGAAACCTAATAGAAGTCTAACTTAAAACTTTACTATGATTTGTTTTATAAGATTCCTGCACATCACGCACAGAAAGCCTGTTCATGGCCCTGAACCTGTGCAATTAACGATATGATTGGTTACTTTAAGCTAAATGATGCAATTAGAATAATTCCACTCACGTGTAATCTCGGGGTATTTTATAGACACATGTTATGGTTAAAGAGCTCTTTTTATGCAACAATATGTCAATTACAGACTAAGTTGATTGAGTACAATTCTATATATGTGGAAACCTACCAACTTGCCAAAGATATTAATTAATGAAATATAAAGCCATCTTATTTCTCTATTTCTTGTCTATAAATTTAAAAACACTGTCGCAACGACGATGGTGCTACAGTGTAAGCATGCCCACAAAAATCGCTGTGTGGTTCAGGTTAATAGATCTGATGCCGACCCCAATCCTTCATTATCTGTACTAAGTGCAGATCACGGACGATGCGCAATTATGGATCCACCTGTCAAATCTAAAGATACGATTTTCTAATGTTGTAAATACTTCTGCTTGCCGGATAGCGCCAGCTAACCCCAACAACTGCCCCGGCGCACAACTTATTGCATTGGACCTGACAATTTAGGCAAGGGTGTTCCATTTTGCTTATAGAAGGCAATAACTACCTGCGTATTTGCGATAAATCTTCTTCGTATATGAAGCAAATGGACTGAATCAATTGGGTAAGACCAACCACTTTATCAAACGGAAGATTATATTCATCTTAGCATGATAGCTTGTGTTCGGATATTCGAACAAAACACTATTCGAATATTCGACGGGTCTTGAAATTTGAATTCCAATAGTAATCGAATATTTTCAACTTCTGACTACTGAAAGGAATGAGCAGCCGAGACCAGGGCGTATTCACACACATAAAGTAAACAATGAAAAAGTAAGAACAACAACAAAGGCTACAACACATATCAACTAAAACCAAATATGAAACAAAATGTTAAACCGCGATGAAACTATATTCATGCATAGATATGTATAATGTGCAAGTCATTCTACAGATTCTTTGTCAAAAAATGTAGCATGCACACGGTTTTGGATTTGCGTCAATTTCTCTTAGCAATCAAGAGCAATTTAACAGTAGAAAAGGCACTTTCTGATGTCACACAGGTGATATTATGCCCAAATACATTTCAATAGACATGCATGAACGTGCAGTTAGTCATCATGGTTACCAAAGTGATACGGTGATCAGGCGTGATCTAGCTAATTAAGGGTATGGACGCATTGTCAATCAAGATAGTCCAGGCATCATAACTCAATTCCGATCAACCCAGGTAGTTGCTGCAATAGAGATGCCAAACACGGTTTATGGTCGGTCTAAACATATAATAGTATCACCCTAAAAAGTCCTAGTCCGAAATCCGTGTCTAAATGGGTCAAATTTGCCAAAATCAAAACTGGCTTTCACATTTGGCTGGAAAATGTCAATTTTTACGAATTATCATTATATAACAAAGTTTGGGTTCAAAATATAAGTCTCTGGGATAGCTGAATTCGTTTCCATATAAATTTTGGTGATTAGTTATACCGCGGAGTCAATACTGGGGAATAATTCAAGATAGCGGTCAATTCGAATATTAAAAAATGATCAAATTTGGTGTCAAAGTATATGTTTTTGAGGTAGCTGATTCCACTTTCTCATTTTGGTGATTTATCTAGGAGGAAATCCAATTAGAGAATGGGGGGATTAAAGATACTCGAGTCTGCCCCAGATCTAATACAATGACATTCACCAAGTATCAACTAAATTATATTTGGACTTTCGGACCTACGACTGGCCTCAGTAACTGCTCAGTGTGGAATCAATGTAGCGGGCATGTCGAAAGGGGCCACTCGCAACGTAGTGGGGCGTGTCTATATCCGGTCAGTGGTCACCAACCTCGAAAATTGAGTCAAGATGGCCAAACCTATTGAGGAACGCGGGAATAATATCGAAGACCAGCAGTTGCCAGGCAAAATACGCCCACATTTTGCAAGAGATGGATAGAGAACAAGCTAAAAAAAAACGATTTTTCGTACAATCAAGGACCATAATTCAGGAAGTTAAGATCTGATATGCGCGAATATCGAAAGGAACCAAGATCTTTGGTTTATAAAGATATATTTCAAGTTTCATCAAAATCGGATCAAAATTGTGACTTCTAGAGGATTCACAAACTTGAAAAACCATATAATTACAATATTTGCGTACGAGTGGCGGCCATTTTGTTCTGCCGTTTTTGTTCCCTTTTCACGAAATTCGAACTTAACCATCATTAAGGTGTAACGGTGGTACATTCATGCGTTTTTTTTTCAATCGCATAAAAATTGTGACCACTAGAGGGACCAAAAAACGTTATTTTCCGTACAATCAAGGGCCATAATACAGGAAGTTACGATCCGATATGCGTGAATATCGAAAGGAACCAAGGTCTCTGGGTTATAAACATGTATTTCTGAGTTTCATCAAAATCGGATTAAAATTATGACCTCTAGAGGGCCCACAACCTTGATATACCATATTTTACACTGTATGCGTAAAAGAGGCGACCATTTTGTCCGTCAGTTTTGGTCCGATTTTCACAAAATTCGAACTCAACCATCATCACGGTGTAACAGAGATATACTCGAACGTTTCTTGGGGTTTTTTTTAAATCTGATAATAATTATGACAGCTAGAGGGACCACCAGCTAAATACGTGATTTTTCGTACAACCAGGAGCCATAATCCATGAAGTTTAAATCCGATACATGCCAATATCGAAAGGAACCGAGATCTTTTGGGGATAAACCTATATTTCAATTCCGTCAAAATCGGATAAGAATTGTGACATGTAGAGTGTCCACAAACAAACTGGGCGAACGGACAGGGGCGACGATAATATTAGAATGTAAATGTGACAAGGAAAGTCATCTTTAATAATATTTGAGAGCAAATAGAATAAATAATGTAGATATTCGAAAATATTATATTCAACGAGCTTACATTCGTGCCGACACTTATGATGACTTCTTATATGTGAATTTCAACAATATTATTTCATTGGAGAAATATAAAGTTTAAAAACAATGCAGCCGATTTCACTTCAAGGGAAGTGACTCTCACCTATTAAAAGAAAATAGACCATGTATAAAACGGCAATTGTTAATGCACACATCATCAAAAATTTGTAATTTTCTTCTGTATAATATTTTTCTAGGTATGAGGATGGACCGTCCATTGATTATTTTCTGGTATCATAGCTAAATTATTTTCAAAAATTCCAAAACTAAAGCTAGTGACAAGCTGTTTTCAAAAATTAAGTCTTGGCCTAAAAGCACTTCTTGCTAAGAGACTGCAGTATTAAAACTGCGGAGAAATACAATCTGATTATGTCGCGCATACGTTGATCTATGTCGAACATGTTTTTATTGGATTATTTATGATTATGTAAATCTATTGTGTAACAATACGACATGTCTCTCTCTATGGGGATAAAACGTTCCGAACACTCGAAAGTCTTCCGTAAACTGCGATGTATATCTCTGGTACTGTTCATCGCCATTTTGAGTAGAGACACACATCACAAACTTGATTGGTTGAAATAGTTCTACTGGCACGTAGATCACCATTGTGATCAAGTGGTGATCGTATAGGTTGCTGAAATGATAGTTCCTCATGTCGAAAATAGTCTTGATGGTACGATGACGCCAACCTTTGTTCATCTGCAACTCTTGTGTGCCGCGTATAAAATATGTCCGTAACAACTGTCATTGTAGATCTTTCCACAGACATTTCGTTTCATGTATTTAGATTATTTAATAACAATGGCGGATAGTGATATTATATGCCTAATTATTTAGGGTAAGTGAATCTTTCTCTTTAAAATCAGTCTGAAATAATATGGAAAACAGTCCAATTTCCCGCAGTATTTACAAATTTATGTTGAATTGATTTTTTACCAATCTATGCGGCTCGCTATGTAATGTGGTCGCCGCCATTTTCTGGGCGAATAGAATTGATAGGCCTATTTTAATTCCGATATAACTCAAATCGGAAAGTTATCTATCGTTGGTAATTTGATTTTGGTTTCTTAATTAAATGTTGAATACTCTATCCAAGTACATATTGGCGTGGATTATGTCGTGCGAAATTTCATATTTTAACGAAAAATGACAATGACACATCGTTTAGTTAATTAAGTAAATTTATATATTTCAGCACAATGACCTCCATTACTGTGTTCCCAAAGTTGATCACCCCACGTCATCATAGCAGGCAGGGAATGTGAAATAGACAAGAAACATGGCAGAAATATTAAGTGCGTAAATTATATAAAATTGCACATCGTAGTCCAAATCAAACGAATAATGGAAACGTACAAAGATAGTAACTACATGTATTTGAACGAATTGAAAATATTTTATTACAGTAATTTTCAAAGACATTGTGAATCTGGGGGTATTGCGACATCTCGGGGTATACTCAGAATCCACCATTGCTTATTTTAGACTTCCAGAGACGCGCTGCCAGTCAATTTCGACCATATCTCTTAACATTATCATTTTGGAAATTCATTTTTCTACAACACCACCTTATGTCGAAACAGGAGTAAAGGCTTTCAATATGCAGTCGAACGTTGTGTCCAAAACATATTACCACAATAATACTTACTTTATCCATTCCACATATCTAATCAAAACTGGTAGTACAAATTATGTGTATGGCGTTATAAATACTGCGAATATGTGGAAAATCTAAAATGGGCAATGCAGATACTAAGTACCTGTCATTAATCCATTAATCAAGTGCGGTTGTTTTCTACATTAAAAACAAGAGTCAAAGTGGGACTATCCTATTATTGAAGATCATAGAAAAGGGAAACAATGCTTATGATGATTAAAAAACATCTACAGTGGGTCTTTCAAAAAAAAATGTAAAAGGAATATTAATAAAAATGGCAATCTTTCACAATAAAAATCATATATTGGTACTCATTCAAAGATCCATTCATAATCACTTTAATAATAATCCATGTTTAAAGAAACGAAAACGAAGTTTTAATCCATATTCACTTAGCTTCTGTCTAGATATCATAAACATCTTTTAATAATTATACAGTTCGTGTATCCAGTTTCTCTTGTGCGCATATATACTACCAGTACACAAAAAACGATGACGTTTCTCACAGATATCAAGGAAGTCGCTGTCTTTAAACAGGTGAATTTAAATCCTGCAGCGTGTAAGTCGTTCCAACTCGATCTTGGTCTAACTTTAGGCGCATCTGCCTCGACGTGTCATAGAAACCGTTGCTATGAGGGGCGTTATGGTTACTGTTGTTTACGACAAGTTTGTTTTTACTACCAATACTGCTCTTACTACTGGATAGCGAGATAGAGTCGAGATATCTTTTCGATCGAGGATCGTAAGGAAAGCGATACTTATTGTAGTCAACATCTTGTTCGGCGCGTTTCTCGATTTGAACCACAACTAGTCTGTACACCAAAAGGGTTATCACAATGGTGTTTTTGGACGTGAAAAACATGTTTGTGTAACTTAGAACGTTGTATTTAAATATAAGTAACATTCTAAGCACAAGGAATGGTGCATCTTGTAGTAATATAGATATGATAATCCCGTACACATCTGCCGAACAACACCCCTTTTCCACTTCGGGCGTCATAGGAACAAGCCCCGTATAGTCCTGTCTAGATCTCGATGCTGTCAACACCAATGAAAATCGAATCAAGCTTAGTGACCATATTCCAAGAATAATCATACACAACAGCTGATTATTTCTCACCTGAAATATACATAGTTTTAAGTGAAATGATTTTATTTCAGACAAGATAAATTGAGTTATCTCCCATTAAACCAGGAACGTAAATACTGTAAAAACGAGACACCGTTGCTGTCATCCCATTCTTTTCAAGGTCCACACTAATATCGTCATCCATGTTGGCACACAATCTTAGCAAATGGAATGGGATTTAATAACTCAAAACGATACTTCAGTAATTTTAATACAAATATGGTAAATTTAATGATTTACCCAATACACCATGCACTAACTAAATACCATCAATACCACCACATACTACCTCAATACTGTGAAATGCTAACAGAATACTTCAATATACAAAAATGAGTTAAATCGTGGCAAACTTGCAAAAATGTACGGCAAAAGTGAGGGTCGATGTCCCAGTTACCCCGCCCCCTGATCACCATTTCGGCCATACTATCAGAAATCAATGCATTTCTGTAAAATAATGGACCAATATTAATCAAAAATGAGATAAATGTACAATTAATTGATTAATAACACGTTTATTTGTCGAAAATAAATTATTCATTCAATGTTTAGCCGTTTCATTTATCACTGATATTATATATAGACATTTCAAATGTTTGCACTTATTACAGGAATCAACTCATTCATATTTAAGTAATTGCAGAATTCTATCAGTTTTGGATAACAATAAGGTAGTATTGTGTTAAAATTGGGAGATATTTGGTCATATTTGGCTAGACTTTCGGGCGCTTGAGCTACTTGGTAGCGAAACTATAAATATTTTGCCAATTCTAAGTATTATGTCAGTTTTCCACAATAATAAAGTAGTATGTGGTGATAATTGGTAGTACTTTATTAGTATTGGGTTGTATTGGGTAAATCGTCAAGCCGAATTTAACCATACTCCTCGCAGTGTTTCGTTTGATTAGACCTAATCCCACTTAAACACTGCTGTAATGAAAGCAAATTTCTGTTCCAAATTATGACTGGTCAAAAGTCCAATTAACAACTAATACCTAACTGCGTAAGAATATCATTCGGGTTCAAACAGAGTTCCAGATATGTTTACATAATGTTACGTCATGACTCACGAAATTTATTACGCCCAGTTAACTAGTGCATCGCAGAATATTGCAGAAAACTAATTGTGTGACGAACAGCTAGAATGTAAACAACACTGCTTGGAGACGAATAATACTTTCACATTTTTAATACCTTAAATCACTGTCAAAATTTTTAGGGAAGACCCCCAGATTAAACGAAGAACTGTCATGTTGCTCTACTTACGACAGATTTGATTGAAAGTGAAGAATAGACACACTCCCTCAAAAGCTCAAGTATCAGAAGTCAATTCAACAATGGCCAGAGAGGGATTTCAAGAGCCATTGGTTCAATTTCATTTCAATTATTCGCTTGCGCGTAGGGGTCTTTAGCAGTGGGAGGAAACCGGAGGACCCGGAGAAAACCCACGAGGTTGGACAGGCGACCCTACTCCTTGTCACGTACAACCCGGGAATCGAAACTCCGCCAGTTGACTCAGTGACAGACCGTATGATACAGCGCAGCGCGCACGTGATAACCATTCGGCCATCCACCCCCCCTGAAGGAACCTTGAACTTTGCAATTCCATTATCACAGGTAGACATTTTAGCTGGAAAGCGCGAGACTTGGTATTCGTGATGATGGAGGAATCTGATAGGCTCCCCAGCTGGGTCAGTAGCCAATGGCTATTAGTAACGAAATATGCAGTCTATTACGTGAAGGGCCTTCTATTGAAGATGCATAGAGCAAAGCGAATTTAATAAACATTAAGGGGGTGTTTGAATATTTAATTATGTACTCTGGTTAATTTGCCACTGTATTTTATACACATAGTGGGGACATTAATTTGGCGTAAGCGACAATTCAAATATTTTTAGGTTAAGACTTAGAAATCAGATATCCTGCATACAGAAAATTCGATACAATTCTGTCCTGAATCTCTGGAAGTGTTCAAAACATAATAATGCCCCTGTCCTATTTTCCATTTTGTGGTCTTCATAAACAATGTAGCTGGACATTTCATGATCATATACTGTACCTTTTCTTCTTTAAAAGCTTCAAAGAATTCCACGATGTCCGCTGCTGTTCCGATATACACTAACAATAACTGTGATAATTGGTCATGAGTTAATTTTCCTTTAGGCAACAACCATCGTCCTATTATCAAGATTAATAATAGAACTTGTTCTAATGTTCTGATCCACTCATCAGATGATAATAATATTGGAATTCTTATTTCAAACTTAACCTGAAAGATCGAAAAAAATGAAATGTTTAATTAATTACACACGGACGAAAGCATTCATATTCCACCTTGAGCTCTAGCAACACACTATAAACATTTGAGTAGTTCGTGGGTGTATAAAAAGACCCTAAAGTGGTCATAAGAAATTATGGGCGACGGCAATAAAAGACAGTATTTCGGTATGAGCAAATAAACTCTCGAGCTTAACCAAATGTGGGGAGATGGTTGAACAAGGGTGACGGTATATATATTCCCCTTTTAAAGCGATAATTGCATTTTTTTGGTTAAGGAAGTCAAAACATAATAATTTTATATATCTATTACTTAAACATGCATTATGCAAGAACTAAATCTTCCTATTGCAGGTCTTTCTTTAGGCCTGAAATGTTATGTAAATTATTAAAATTAGACATTAAGTAACTTATCTAGACCATAATCAACTCTCGATGCCATCGTTAGCCTGCGATATTTAGTGGATTTGAATACATTTTGTGATGCTCCGGTCAGCAGCACCACACATAAACTATACGCAACAACACCCAACGGGTAAAGATGGTATATTCTATGACATCTTACAAAACAAGTTTACATTTCGTAAAAATGGTGGAGGACAAGAGAAGGTTTAAGAGAGACTAGCTCGGGGGTCATAACTCCGGAACCGGAAGTGGTAGACTAACGCCACCTGGCCTATGTTACTCCCGGGTCCGAGCTACCCCTATACCCCAAATTTCAGACTCGGGGCAGACCTAGTGTAGCCACCAACCCCGAACAGACCGGCTTAGCTCGGGGGTCATAACTCCGAAACCGGAAGTGGTAGACTAACGCCACCTTACCTATGTTACTACCCGGTCCGAGCTACCCCTATACCCCAAATTTCAGACTCGGGGCAGACCTAGTGTAGCCGCCAACCCCAAACAGACAGACAGATACCCTGCTTCGCTCGGGGGTCAAAACTCCGAAACCGGAAGTGGTAGACTAACGCCATCTGGCCTATGTTACTCCCCGGTCCGAGATACCTCTATACCCCAAATTTCAGACTCGGGGCAGACCTAGTGTAGCCGCCAACCCCGAACAGACCGGATTCGCTCGGGGGTCATAACTCCGAAACCGGAAGTGGTAGACTAACGCCACCTGGCCTATGTTACTCCCCTGTAAATACGCGGATTTCTTGTGCACACGCGTAGGTCGGGTGTATGTGGACGTATTGACTGTCGTATGGGCTAATGATGATGGTGACACTAATGTGGATAAGTTCGAATCAAACTTCAATGGAGAAGCCGGAATGGTTAACACGGGTGGTATCACTGGTAGAGCAGGTGGTTCCTCTGGCTCTGATAACGTATTCTATCTGACCAATGACTTCATCCAAGTCATTACAGTTTCCATTGTGACGTAAGGGAAAACATTTTTTTTCAACAAGTTTGATACAATATAACATTCTGATGTTTTCACCTTGTAAGTTGAAAAAAATAACTGGGATCCTGAGAAATCCTGACGAAGCACCAATTACCATGAAGACTAGTTACAAGATATCGATCACGAGCCTTGTTTTTATTACCATCTAAGCGCAGGTAGGCCAAATCTCCAACTGCGACATGATTACTAGGAGGTATGTTTCCAATACGGTTCTTGGAAGTCTCACGATATCCATGATTACGTAATCGCTGTGCATGTTGTTCATTTATAAGATCACGATCTGAGACAGGAAGCTGTGTGTGTGTAAACTGGCACCTTTGTGTAAAGATTTCACGAGAAGATAAACGCCTACTTTAAATTCTAGAATTCAATTGAGCAGTTGCGATGGAGTAGATTAAAGGTGATACGGGTCCACCTCCAGGTTCTTGACATAACAGGTTTTCCTCGAGTTATGCAATGGCCCTTTCCGCAACAGGATTTTTGTTGGGGGTTTTAATACAGTCGACATCAATATCAATGCACAGATTTTGTAGTATGGCATCATTCTTAAGAGCAATAAAACCAGAAGCCGCATCTAGGAGGATGTGTACATGAGAACCATCAAGGGGGCGTAGTTTCATACACAAAAGAGCAAGACCTTCCCCCCTCAGGGTTGAGTGACGCTCATTCTCAATTGAACAAGTAGTGGTATACGAGGATGTGGTCTCTCGAAGCAGGATAAGCTGTCTATAACGTTTAAGAACACTAGCTGCATATGATAAACCTAATGCATCAGGAGGATCTGAGGTAGACTGTTCGACAAGTCACTTGAGGGGATCGTTTTAGGGAAGCACAAGTGTGGCATGTTTCCGAAACATTGTAAATGGCTTTGTCCAGACCCAAAGTATAAAAATTCCGCCTCACCACTTGTTTAAGTTGATGCTTGGTAGGGTGACTGAGCTTACTATGTAGGGCTATCAATAGTCCACCCAACACGGTTCTGGTGATGACGATCAATTCCGACGTTGGAAGTAAGGGTTCGTGGTGTTGAACTACTAGAGGCCATCTCGGGTTATTGTAAGTACGTTGAGATAACGCCTGGCATCTTTAAGATTTGTAAGTTTACGAGATGGTCGGGTGCTTTGCTTGAAATGAGCATGGACGCGCCTCAAATCCGGGCATTATGACTGAATAGTAGTCCAAGCTGATATGCTGGTAAAAGGAAGTCGGATAGTACCATTCATAATATCTTGAACAGAAATTGACCTTACAACAGAGTCTTCTAATCGGGCGATGAAGTTACAAATCTGACAATGCGGTTTCTGACAATCTTGAACATTATGACTTGCAAAATCAGATGGCATATTTGCCTGGCCTGCTAAATGGTGGACACTTATCTGATACCTGCTTACTATTGACAAAAAGGAAGTAACGCGTGGACTGGAAGAAAATTCGTCACGGGAAAGCTTGGATATAGCCTGGATACATGGTTTACTGTCAGTTAGAACACAGGTCTGGTGGTGAGACTGTATTATAAATTGACTGAAGTGTTTGATGGCTTCGATTTCACACGGTAACCAAGTAACCTGATGTTGACGTAGTTTGGAGCTTAAGAATCCCGCAAGGGACATTTTGTTGTTGCGGCTAACATAAAGTGTTGCTCCAATGCCATGCCTTGTAACTGAACCGTCGATGACAATCCACAATAGATATGATGGTCTGGGTAGGAGTATGGCGGTATTGGTGATGAGAGATTTCTTGGCATGAGAGAAGTGATGGTTTAGCTCGTCTGTCCAGTTGACTTTGTCTTTTGATTGTTGGTCAGCAATAGCCATATCCAATGGATTTATCAAGTCTGAACAGTGAGGTACGTCACGTGCTAAAACCTTATAAGCCCCTAAAGATGATCGGAGACCACGAACGGTGTCTGGTGGTGAGTATGTTAAAAGAGTATATGCGATCAGGGCTGGCATGGATGGAACCTTGTGACCATACCCAACCTAAAATGGTAGTGGTTTTAGGACAAATGACGTTTTCAATGGCGATAACTTGAGGTTACATGCGCGTAATGCATTCAACGTCTCCGTAAAATTAGTCATAAGCTCCTCTGGTTAATTACCTCCTATGTACAGATCATCGGCAAGCTTAGTTACAATGCCAGCCTGTAGTTGGTCACCCAAAACACGGTACATTAGTTCTTCAAGGGCAGTTTCCAAACCGGGCATACCCTTGGCAGAGCGTGTATTAAACACGTACCCCACGAAAGGGCGTCGCTACACCATGGAATCTCTGAACAAAGGAATCTGGAAGAAGGCACAATAATGTACTGCCAACAAGCAATGGTGCGTTAGATGTAATCAACATCAGGCTCTGTTTACTATTTCTTCCGACATCAGCGAAGGCAGTGACTAAGCGGAAACCTCCAGATGGTTTCTTAACAAAGAATGGCGGATTAAGGTCTGGGCGTTTAGATACACCTGCTATTTCTAATTAATTAGAACGTAGAACGTGTTTGAAGTTCAACAAGTTTTTCCCTTGAGTACTGGCGTATTATACTGAGGGAGTAAGTTTTTGAATGCTTCTCTAGTTGTTGACGATAATATAAGATCGGGATCGAGAGCTACTTTATCAGAATAAAATAAGCTTGGATTAAGTTTAGAGGTAACATAACTTGGTGCTGGAGTATCATGTGATCAGTCGAACCTGACAGAAGTGTTCATTGCGTTGAATGGTTCTGGGTTGATGTGTTGTATTGGGTATTCTCGCCTTAGACTCTAAGATGGAAGGCTGTGGCCACATCTAGGAGAGTTTCAAAATATGTGAGCTTGGGCAATCGGAACGAGCTTCGATAGCCAAGATATAGTCGCGTGGAGCAGAAACTTCTAGGTAATCACCAGGCCAAATAATTGTCGCTGAAGCTGGAGGGCGAATCGCAGAAGCCTGTATACGCCGGATGGAATTGTACTGAGACGGTGCCTTTGATATACAATAGTATCGGAATTTTTGATTGTAACTTGATGGTTGGCTGGACGAACAGATACATCGTTGACAGTCATGAATGGTGTCCAAGTCTTTTACAACAAGAGCATCTAGGGATAGGATAAGCCCATGGCGTTCCTTGAAAGAGTGAGGCGTTCACCAAGCACAGCTAAAGGTGTGATACCATCGGAATGAAGAGGACGTTGAGAACTGGTCAATATAGTAGCTCCGATATACTTGCCAACAGCAGCCTTGATCATATTAGTTTCTGCACATGTATCTAAAGTAAGCTGCACAGGGTGATATTTATAAAACGCTTTAAATTGAGGTGACTGTTTGGTACTAACACGATAAGCGGAAACACGATGGTTGCTCGATGTACCATCGTCCTCCGGGTGTGTAGGTAAATTATTGGTTAAGTCGAGATCATCATATAGGCAAGTAGTCTGACGGGCACGATTGAGATTTTTTTTGGCACCTGCAGCTAAGAAAGGGCAGGTACTAAGGTAATGTTGTGTCTTAGGGCGATTGGCTTGTTTGCAGAGAGGGTATGATCTAGGCTTAAATCCGTCACTCGTAGCAGGATCTGGGATGTATCGCCGTCGAAGTAATTGTCTAGTAGCTGATCG